CTCATGCGCTGAAAAATTCAACCAAGATGCTTGATTTACGAAAAGACAAGGGTGCCCACTCGCGCTTCAACTGCATAAGCAATGTCGTTTCTCGAAGCCTTAGGGCCCGATGACACTAAGGTAACAACTTAGTAATTGGTATTTTATCAGTTTTTTGAATCAAAATTCTAATCATTGCCGCATATTCCTCCTTAAGACATAGAATCTAGCAGTTAAAAACTTTAAGTATTTTTCGGCCTTTTTTGAACTTTGGTTCGACTGCTGTGTTCAAGTGCTACGGATGGACGGCGGAGACGAGTATGATAGCGCCGACCTTTTTGCAAGTCCACATAAGTTTTGATACAAGTTGGGGAGACGCGGATTTAAGCGTAAAATGGAAACGACGATTGAATGAAACGGACGGTATCAAAATGATTCGCTCTACAATATATGCAAGTCAAATGCCTTAATTATCCAGGGGAGATGAGGTTTAGTGTTCTTCAAACTTTTTTTTCATAGTCCAATAAAAACACATGCAAAGCGTGCGTCATACATGTGGATGCTGAAGAAAAGTGCGGCCTAACGTGCACGATCTTGTGACTTTAGGATCCGTGTGCTTATTTGACGAGATCCACGCAAAAAACCGATTGCGGTGAAATATCCAGCAGGAGTTATTATTGTACGAAAGGATGATTTCATGGGCTACAGCGTGTTTGTTTAAAGAGAAAAACAAGGTTGTGGCCACACCGTACGCGAAGGTCATAGAAACTCATAGAGATGCGCAAAAATAAAGTTGCAGGGGGCACTTGATGTTACAGTGTCGACACGCACAAGTAAACCATTTCAGCTTTGACTCCAAAGATTGTAAAGGGAAAGAACACGTCAAAGATATGGACGCGTGCTGCACACAGGAATCGAGGTGCAACACAATACGCGCAGTGTTTCGGTGCTCAGGAGAGGCCCTGACGCGAAGAGAGCATCGTGGATCACTTATACGAGCGCAATCTCAAGAATTATAATCAAGTGATGCGCAGCCACAAGAGTGCAGGTCGTAATTAAGCCATACGTAAAAAGAAAGTAGTAAATGGAGGCAACAAAGTGTGGCATTCAGTCATACGACCTTTCAGCAGTGCTGAACTGCACACAAAGTGATTGTTCGGGACGGAGACAAATGCGCATGGAAGTCTTGAGCATCTTAAGGCTCGACTTGTTGCGTGCATAAATGAGCAAATACATGGTGTGAACAACCGGATTAGATTTGCAAAAGTAATGGAAATGTCAATTATTATTTGCTATTTGATGTGTCAGCTACATGGGGATTGTCCGCTAAGCGCACGTATATACGTTATGCCTATGTGAAGGCCGACAAATAACTTCGCTTCAAGAATATTAACAAATGCCACAAGGGGTGGACATTGACGTAGCGACGTACAGAATTTATGTGTGTCGAAAAAGAAGGAGCTATCGTTTAAAGGTTGCAAGCGTTTGTACGGTCTCAAACAAGCCGACCGCATATTTCGTCAACTTCTGCACGCAGGACTGTGGGACGCGTGGATAGCACAGTGCGTGGCAGACATGTGCATATACTGGATGCGTGACGCAAAGGACATTGTTTTTGTCGATGTCCACGTGTATGACCTACTTATCACTGAAACTGAGCGGCTGTGGTAGACAAAATTTTGCAAGCCTTGCAAGTTTGTGGATAAAGAGACCTCGGCGAAGTGAGCAAGTTTCTCTGAATGAAGGTACTACTTCTCGACAAAGGCTGCTGTATGCTTGATCAGGAGAATTCAATTAGTGATTTACTACGTGGGCACAAACTTTCGGATCCCAACTCGACATTAAGCTGTTTGGTTCTGACTGCTACGAGGTGCATTCATGTGAAAGAGTGCTACTCGAGGTCAAAGCCACATACATATACCGAAAGTCGAATAATATCAGTCTGGAATTAGGTCGCTATTGTGGGATACTATGCACGCCACCAGACATTGTGTTTGCAGTATATAGGGCGGAAAGATAGACCCAGTAATAGTGGCTACATCATAGGAAGCTTGCTGAGCGAGTGAAACGCTACCAAAAGGGTATAAATCTCATGAAAATAATCATCAGACCGTCAAAAATAAAAAGTGGCGATTATGTTTGAAAGGTACAACAACGTCGTTTTAGCCGCGGACAAAAGTGACAGGAAGAATTCAATTTGGAGGGTTTGTGCTGCTCAACGGTATGGTGGTAAGTTGGGTTAGCAAGAAACAAGGTGGCATATTTCATTTCGACGATTGAAGCAAAACTTGTGGCAGCATCTAAGGCTGCCCGAAATCTGCTTGGCGTGAGCGAAATGCAATGCCGAATTGGCGTGGAGCTAAAAGTGCTTATGCTGATGCATTTTGACAATTAAGCTGCTATTTGTCAGCTCGAAGGTGAAGTCTCGTCTCTCCAGGCGGAATATATTGACGATTTCTACAAAGTTGCTTTCGATTTTGCCAGCGCGGAGTTGTGCGAACACAATTTGGGCGATCGGAGCTAAATGTAATCCGCAAATAGTAAAAGGTCTTCCATTCTATTCCTCATTCGATGTAATCTTATTCGGATAGGTTTTGATATCGGTTAAGATAGATGAAATTATTGCCTAAGTGAACTTTCTTGAAATTAAATATGTATCACTATTGAGTCGTCGCATGAAGGCTTCATTTTCTATAAGTTACGTTGATTATTTGCCGGATTTCTGCTCAATTGTTTACATCAAATAGAGTGGTCGCAGCAGATCACGTGTTAAATGTGACCCGCTATGAGCTCGCTCCCATGTAACATAAGTTCACGCAAAATAATTATAGCGCGCCTAATAAATGACTTCCCTTGTCCAGCGTTATCACGAAGTCTATAGGAGACTTCCTGTCTATCTTTCCAGCTGCAAAGTCGAAGTTAATCTAACTCACCATCAAAATCCTAATATATTTATACTTTTTGTTCATGTACAGATGATATTACTGTCTCACTCCAAATATCCTACAATCCTCTACCAGAAATATGATTGCTGACTAAAAACGTTGATTTTTTACATTTACATGCCTACCTTAACCCACATTCAAGCCGGATAAATCAAACGAATCACGGAAGAGTACATAGTAGCGAATTGAAGGTGCACATCCTTGGATCAATCTGCTTACTTAGCTGCGCTTGCGAGAAAGTTAAATATTTCTTCAGGACATCGCTTTCGTCGTAGAGAATCAAATGCAAATCATTTGCACTGTATAGCCATCTTTTCCTACATAACTTTTACAGTACAAAGGTGGTGTCTTCGATATCGTAATTTTATCAAGCGCCTTGATGAGTACATTTCCCCTATCGATTTCATTAATGGACATAACGTGTTTTTCTAGCCTCCATACCTTCGGCACAGCAGATACTTGTCATCAAACCGGCAGCCTCGATGATCGTAATGCTGCCATGTAATTTAAATATGGGAAATAATGAAGTCGTTGCGAGCACTTCATTCCTATTCGAAGCACCAGGTATCAGTCTATGCAGTTGTGGTGTGATATATTTGTAATTACACTAATTTTTAGAAGGTTTTTAGGTAATTGTTGAGGCATTTTAGAGTATGCATTACTTCTCATTTAATTGTTCCAATGACGAGGCCCCCCGGCGGGGGGGGCGGGGTGAAATGCGTCTAGTGCGTGTTTAATTTCGGAGTCTTCTATCATGCTTCTTTAATTTTGTACAGTCATATCACCACGATTTACACGCACCGAGACTTCAACAAGATGGCGCAATGTTGCGTATATTATCTTATTCCACATGCGTGCTGACCGCTTGAAGTTTAAAATTTGACGGTTTGTGTAGTATCAACAGCTTTCCATTTGTCCGTGTTCCAATGTAGCTATGCTCGCTTCCCTAAATTAACAATAATTAAAGTATATACCCAGGTATATATCCCTATCTTGGCCCTTGTAACGTCCTCCTTTGGTTGTTAATGCACCATGCATGATTGAGATATGCAAAAGTCTTCATAAACGGTCATATTGATCATGTTTGGTTTCCATTACGACGAAGAACGCCAGCTCATTTTAGTTACCAAGTATTTGACTGTTGATACGAGCAGAATCGATGTTATTGAAGTATTTAATTACCATTAAAGTTCATATTTGCTTTGAATATCTATCTCAGATGTAAAAGTGACTTAGGTATGGCTTCGACTCACCCGAACACACTACGTCGTCTTGAAGATTTATTGCCAGTCTTCGATTATGACCATCTGCGAACGGTATCACAGGTGGCTGCATTTGGCCTTCCAAAGTTATCATGTACACACTGCCACGAATCCGGACCTCCTTAATTTTGCGATATCTTTCCTTTAAGTCAGTATCCCAGTCAATCGCCATCACCGCGCGATGGGGCTCACGTTACAATCTATTTGAGCGCGAATATTTGACGTACACAGCAGCCATGTCAATTGTTTAAACTGAGCGTTGTCAGTCTATCCTTAGCCTCTTTCATCGGTGAGGCACACACGTCGCAAACGCGCTTCATGCTTTGCCTACATCACTTTTACAGGTCTCACATTGTGGCACCACGAAAACCTTGTCCCGCTATACAGTGCATTCCAACCTCCTAGCACCAGCTGACTTATTGCGCGACCAGCTACAGTACTAATATCTTATCTCCTTCCATAGCAAAAGCATTGAGCGACTACATTGTTGCTTAAAAAATCTATACATTTTTTCGATCACGGACCGAATCATTTTGTATTGTTCAAAATATTGCGGCCGTAGACGGTGCGGTGTTCAATGAGGCTTACCAAAAATTAATATATATGTACCTAAAAATACAATATATAGTTGGCTTAGAGCAGGTCTCATAAAATTATGCATAAGCTAAAAATAGGTATGCATATGCATAAGTTAAGGACCGCGACGTGAATAAACTACGAGATTTTTTGGTGGTGCGCCGCTCCCCGCCGAGTCCGCCGACCACCCACGTTCTTCTCATTTAGCTGACTTTACCCGTCACCCGAGCCCATTCCGATGCTGCCGCGCACCACTCCATTCCAATCCAAGCACTGCCTGGAGTTCGGTCTCGAGATTGTCTCTTGGGATAAATACGGCAACCCGACGGTGCGGTGCAGCTTCTGCGCTTTTGAGGGCCGTGACCAGGTGACGGTAAATGAGGGAGGAACCCGGAAGCGCAAAAGCGCGACGACACCAAGTATTTTACGAAGCCGTTCGCGCTCTTAAACTACCGAAGTCACCTCAATGGGCAGCACAAGGATTTATGGGAGGCGTACCAGCAGTGCTCGACGTTAGCGAAGATGTCGCACTTCGAAGACAAGGTCCAACGCGCCAACACACTGCACATCCACATGGACCTGACCAGTGACACGATCGAGAACGTGATCAAGGCGCCCATCGTTCAGAAGATCATCGGAGAGCTGCTCTTCAGCACCGAGGCGATCGAGGCGCACAGCGCGACGAAGCGAAAGAGGTCGTGGCGTCAGCAGCGTTCCACAGAATCGCCAAGCTAGCCAAGCAGAAGAAACACGCCATGTTGTTGTTTAAGCCGGCAGAAATAGCAGCGGAGGGGGCGGCGTCGTACACGGTGACGATAAAGAATCCGATGCGATACCATTTAGTGAGTGATCATGTCGGTGCAGGGGTTTCATTTAAGCAGACGGCTCTCGCAATCGGACACGCCAAAAACCGGGCCCAACTGCCAAAGCTGGCCGGCATCAACGACCTTATAGTCGGCAAGTTCGTCCGGGTGCAAGTCGCAGTCGCGCTGCAACGTATTGCCGACATGCTCAGCAACGACGACCAGGTCTGGGCGTTCTCTTTGGCCGGTGACGTCATCACACACCGCGGACAATTTTCTTCGACCTACGCCTGCGCTTGTACTGACACGACCGACTCCTCAACCTGCATCTGGTCGCGCTCCCCCTGTTCGACCGCCACACCGCCGAGAGCATGTTCAGCGTGATTGCCAAGCTCATGGACGCGCTATTTCCGAATTGGCGGGCCAAGTTGATCGGCGTGTCGAGCGACGGCGAATACGATGACCGGGCGCCACCGCGGCCTCGTCACGAGGCTGGTGTCAGCCCCCGAGTACAATGTCCTGCGCTTCTGGTGCGCTCCCCACCAGATCGACATCCTTGCCAAGCAGAGTGCCGACAGAATCGACGGCGGGGCGTGGATAAAGTTTGCCTATTCCTACACCGTCTACCTGCGCGCTCAGAAAAATTTAATCATAGAAATGGACGTCAAGTGCCCCAAAAAGACGAACCGCTGGGTGCATCTCGAATAAGTGCTTGAATTTTTGTAGGAGCACCGGCGTAGGCTGATGACATTCACCGAGGAGAATCACGCCGGGATGCTGCCGACTGACTCGTGGTGGACCGTGACCTACGCTATCGCGCCGTCCATTAACGCGATCAACATCACATCTGACCTGCTGCAGAACCGATCTCTGCTGCTGGCGCATCATGAGGCCCACAGCATGGTGCTTGTCGGCACGATCAAATCCATGTTCGAACTCAAACTCATCGATCAGGACGATGCCGACGCGGAGGAGGACGACAAATTTGTGCGGTTCAAGACAATTCGTGTTCGGGCCGACCACCTCGTCACCCTGATCGTGGACGAGGGATCAATGGCCTGCGATTGCTTGCTGCGCTTAGATGATTCCGAGAAGGCTGTCGTCCTGAAGCAGATCGTGGCCTATGCGGAGACGCTGGTGATCGACCTGCAAGCCGTGAGGGCAGAGCACGACGACAACAACTTGCCGCGGGAGCTCGTGTCGCCACCAGTTCTTCCTGGTACATTATCGGATTTCGGCCGGCCCACTTCATTCGCGATGTGCTGGACCCGCACCGTGAGCGTATTCTACGCTTCTGGTCTGCTAAGGACATCTACCAGGACGAGGAGGATCATCGCCAACTGGTCGCCGCATACAAGAACGGTCCCATCCTGCGCTGTGCCATCGACGAGCACGACGTCAAGACAACCTTTGACGACGCCTGGGTCGTGGTCCCTGGAAAATATCTGCGACTGCGCACATTTTGCGGTGGACTGGCGTCCGTCTTTACGAACATGACTTCGGTCGAATTAGATTTTTTAATTTCTGAAATGGGAGGCGGACTCGAACAGGACGGACCTGATTCATCTTTCGCTTGAAGAAATTTTCCAAGCGAAGCAGTGCGTTTTGCTGCTGCAAACTTCGTCGAAACTAGCTATGCATAAATCAACGCCGGTGGCGTGCATAAATTAACTTAGTTTATGTAGTTTATGCAAATGAATTATTTTAGGAGGCCTGGCTTAGAATCATCGATCCTTGAGGTCGTGCAAACAACTTTTGAATGATGTCGATCACGAGCATATCCCTGGTCTATACATATTAAGGCACCCTGTTTAAATTCTGTCTTCCAGAAGTAGATACATTGTAGTGATTTTTTAAGAAAGTCATCTTTGCTCTCAGGTCTGGGTCTTTGACTAGCCTTATCACGTAGCATACATGTTGCTTTTTATTTCAACAACTCATAGTCAAGATTTTGCAAACATTCGTGTTGACTTCCTACTCGTTGTAAGCAGACACCTTCGCACGTAAACGTACAGAACTTCTGTAACTCGTACACCATTTTATTGATCAACGAAAATTTCATTCGATTTCTCGGCTTCGAGGACGGACCGCACATATGCTCGCGGCCACACAGTGTTTGTTGCAATACGCGTTGTCAAAATTCATCGCGTCTACCAGAAATCGAAAACGATAGCTCTTCCAGATTCTTGGTGTGATATGCAATAAGAAGGTATGGTGTCGATAAAAGATGTGTCAGAGGTTTGTCATATCCACATCACAATTCTTGATGATATCCGGCGCACTTCCATCGACTGACTTTGTAATGGTGACACACTGTGGTGTAAACGACGGTATGGGCACGTGCACCCTGTGCTTTATCATTTGTATAAATAAGCGTCATACTAATTAGGCTTGCTGGGGTGGGGTGAATCGTTTAGGATACCATTATAAAACGTTTCCGACTATCTCTATACAAGAGTTGAAGCTTCAATTTGCGTGCTTCGGCATGATTTTATCATCATGCAAAGAAGAATTGAATAAAAATCAGCTTGCAAATGTTCTATAGAAGGTCCGTGCCTTGTCAAAGCGTCCTTTGATCTTAAGGGATTAGTAGACCTTAGACATTTACTTTTGGGCAGTCGTTCCCACATCATTTATTGAATTATTCGATTATCAAATTAGTCCTATAAGATATGTGAGCTAGTTGACTCTCTGAGTCCAAACCTCTAGGTTGTTGTGCTCGTTGACTCTTAAATTCTTGTTTCACTAAACTCGCTGATTGTCTAAGTCCTCATCATTTTTAAAAACTAATTGGATCGTTATGCTTGTTTAATTCCGGTAAGGAGCTGTAATCACTTCGCTTCAGACATGCATTTGCTGAGAAATTTTTTCGAGTCTAAGAGCAATTATAGCAAATTCACCTGTCGGAAACTTTTCTGCAATCAATAATGAAGTGTATTCACTTGATATTTTATTAGCCGTCGGTACATTAAAGCCTTCATTTCATTTAAAGCTGTGTCCTTGTTGCGGTAGCAGCCATTAGGCGATCGTGCGACCTGCCCCCATAACAATGTATCATGTCAAGCGTTTTAATCTGCCATTATTTTTTGAAAAATATGCCACGATCGCATCATTACATATAAATTTTTGCCAACTATAAGAGACACGACAACTTCTTCACCTTACATCGATGAGTTTGTCTTGTAAACGTTGATGTTCATTCTTCGTAGCATCGATATTTGCACCAACATACTGGTGTTGTATATGATGATGTAAAATATGGAATGTCTTCAACTCGCATGTTTCGCCGACTTTCACCAGGAAAATGTATTTCTTGTTTCAACTTCGACGAGAGCTAATAGCGGCAGTGAGTATACAAAATGTTTTTTGCAGCCGTATATCTGTCGAAAAGGTTTTGATAGTTGTCGCTTTGCGCGTTCCATTGTATTATAATTGATCCACTGATTAGTAACCCTCTGGTTTTCGTAATTTTCAAGCGCCTCCCACTGGGTGTGGCGAGTTTGTCAACCTAAATCTATACCCCCAGTAATCTGCAACACAATACAGAAAACGTAGTGTGGCGAGGTAATTTCCCCATCAAGAAAAGGAACTTTTCCCCCGTCTTTTCTAAAACTGTATTCTGTCAAAAGATTATACAGTGTGCTTCCGCTATAGGTCAATCGGCAGCCGTTCTATTTTCCATTAACGGGAATTGTCTAGCTGTGCTGTATCGTGACATATTACAGATCGAATGCGGTACGTAGCATTAAGACTAAAGAGGATAAGGTTCTTGCATCTATCACCGCATCATAGCGCTCAAGCGTAAATTAGCTGTTCCGTGATTAAAACTGTGAGTGATAATGATAATTTAGGTTTTGCCGCTCGCTAGAGATTCACCTAGCAACTTTTTTGATCAATACATTCTTTGCTTAGCTCATTAGGAAAAAATTTAGACTGCTATATCTTGCGCAGCTTTTGAACATATAATTTCATTTCATTACATGTAAATTGTCTTGTTAGGCTCCATTTGTTCGTAAACGGTACATAAAAAATCTCAGAAATTATTTTATAAGTATAGAATGTATTTTGATGACACTCTCGCCCGCGTACCACTCACTGGTTTTTATGGAACCCGACGGCCCGTCTGCTCTTTAGACGCCTTTACGGCAACAGTACCTGCAGATGAATAATGAAGTATATGAATAATCTGGCGTTTTGCACGCGATCGAATCGCCCGGTAAAAACCGATTGTGACCGGGCAGGCGATAGAGACATTTGATCGGTCGACCCTTCTGTCCATACAATACTTTCTTTCGAAAGCAGATATTACTAAATATTCACTATCGCATACAGCTTACAAAAAATAAGAATGCATCAATAACTTGTTTAAATACGCTAGGATGGATTGAAAGAATAGTAACTATCTATCAATTCATGCATCACCCAGTATTTTCTGTCCTTCACATTTAAAAAAAAGTCACGTCACTATAGGGCAGTCCACAGTCGCCAAGTGTCATTCTAGAAGCATAAAACCACTTGCTGCTATTATGGTATCAGCGCATTTAAATATAATACCTTACAACATATATACTCATGCTGGTAAAAACAGTAACTGAGAGCCACTAATATTCAAAAGCAATATAAATGGCTGTGGATACGCACTGTTGCATCATCCATATGTTAACACATCCGATTCAATTCTTAGATATATAATGTTGTGTGGAAATTTAACTTATGAGCTGGGGGATATTGTGAAGATTATTCGTCTAGAACTGACAAATACTTTGGGTATGTTGCTGATGTAATAAAGCGCAGCAGAATGTGATAAAGAGCCGATTTGGCAAACAATTGTTGCGATGGTGATCCAAAGTATCTGCAGTCCTAGACGAATGAACCACACACCATCCTGTAACTTATAAGTTGAAATGCCACACGAGATCATAAATCTCTAAGAAATGATAGGATGCATTAATATATGGCAAGATGCAACTGTGCGCATCCACAGTCATTTATTTTGTTTGTAAATTTGAGTTACTTTCAGTTATTGCATTCAATAATTGAGAGAGAATCCAATTGCGATTATGATCCGATGGAAGATAAAGTCGGCGTAAATGGCCCCTCGTGAACATCCAATATCGATAGCATATAAGATGATATAAAGTTTCTCTTTCAAAACGAATGAAATTTTCAGGTTCAAACACTACTTATGTTTGGGATCTTTTCTCAAGACTTCTTGCAGGTCACGAACACGTCCAGTCGACCTGTTACGCACAGATGTACCATATGTGTTTGTGTACATTGACACAAATATCATGGTAATTTAGTAAAGGCAGAATAATATGGATCTAGCCTGTAGTGTAGTACGGCAAAGCAAATTTACACGAATAACAGAATTCTTTACAGATTTACAAGTGACATGCCTCCTGCAAGGTTTGTTCGAATATGGACATCAGAATCGTATGCCCTGCTCTATAAACGATTAATGATCACATGATTGACGTCGTTCAAGGACGCGCAGATACTCAAAGAAGTTATATCATCCAGATCTTGGTACAACGTTGTACATAGACAAGTTAAGGCACTAAATCATTCCTTTGCACTCGAAAACGCTTATGGAGCATAAAAATATGTGTCTTGCGCAAACCAATACTTTTGAAAAGCTTCAGTATATCAAGGCGCTTAAGTATGATGGGAAAACGAAACTGTACTTTCTATATAGCTTCAACTGTTCCACGCTATAAGGTTATATGGTGTCAATCAAGTATCTTTATTTATATCCTGGCCATTGATGGTTAGGAGTGTCATTTGCTTGAATTACGTTAGGAAAAACATGGCCAATATCAGCCTATGTCGAATAGACAACGAATGTAAACTGTGAATGACTTGCAATGCTCACTTGTATCAAGTAAAAAAATTTCGACTCATGTCTGGATCTTACGACAGTCGAAGATATTACCATAAGTATTAGGGCTAGGACCTTCCTTTTATGCAATTACGGGCGCATACATATTTAGAACATATGTTGTAATCTATAATGAATCGTGAGTTCCTTACCTAATGAGGGTCTGTAATATTTATATAAAGGCGTCTCCTCCGACCCTTCATGAAACGACTCAGCATCGATGCCCTAACAAGTGGAAAGCCACACTGCAATGACGAAAGATGTGTTGGAAGTCGACATTTTGATCTCAGTAGATATATAAAAGAGATATGAAAGATTCACGTCGCGCAATTTCGCATTACAACTTTGATCTATTGCGCCAACCGCGACCGACTCCCTGCTTCTGTGTCTCCTTGTGTGTACAACTTCACCGAGTAAACTAAGTGTAAAGGCAACCCAAAACGTTTAGAACCGTTTATATTGATATCGATTCGCATCCAAATTTCACTGCACATCGATTCTAATGTTCCCTACTAATTCGCATATTGGTTAAATTTAGTGGATTGATTTTTTATCTTGACACAAGTAGCGCGTGTACGGCGCTAATCATTGCAACACTGCCCCGAAATTTCGTGCTATTGACGCGGGGATATCCATCTCTAGTAAGGAGATAATGTTGCACCGTAATTACTGAGAAAATTTAGTCACATAGTCGCACGTCACATAATTACTTATAACTAATTATAACTAGTTGAACGCCGGTAAAGTCCGCAAGTAGCGCTATTTATTCTATAGATGATGTCGTCATTAATCTTCCTTTGAATGAGTACACTTATGGAAGCGACATAGTCCGAGATCTATTTAGATCACGTTGCGATCGGTAATACACCGATGAGTCCCGCGGTAGCTGGCCGACACGCAGCGGACATGCGTCTGTAAGCAAATTAATTCCGTCATGCGCTCTTACCTCTCAAATTCATGTACACTGGCTGGCCCTCTGTCAACATCAGGCAGGGAATCTAGCCGTGGTTCAGGCTTGGCTGGGCAAGTGAATGAAAGGAAGTTATCAGCTGAGGGTCATCTGGAGGACGATCCACGATACGCTGAAGAGAGAGGATATGCGGAGGACATCATTGTCAATACGAAACGTCAGCGTGCAGTCAAGTATCAGCTGATGAATCAGCAATTATGGATTGAATTCACTGCCAACTATGGTCGCATCAACCCAGCGGATATCTTCTCTGCGAGTTTGCAGAACCAATTGAAGATCGCCTTCAGCTGAGACACAAGCACTCTTATCTTTCAATAAGCGTGTGAGACCTCTATACGCTAGCAAAAAAATGGATAGATTTGCTGTGCTGGAGGGAGTAGTAATCAAGTTCACAGAACATTCTATGTTAAAGTTGTGTGGTGCGTCTCAGTGGAAGAGACACCTACAATGAAATGTCTAAGAGACAGGAAGGACTGTTGGGGTACATGCAAAGATATATAGAGACAAGGGAGACTCTTTAGAAACTACATAAATATCTTTAACAGTAGGTATCTACCAGACTTTCAATGCCAATATGTATTCACCTTTACATTTCCAACCTGTGTAGCAGATGTCCTACAAGTAGCCCGGTGGTTGTAGTTGCTGTGGATAGTGCACTTTTCTTTACCCGAGTAAGACCAGCGATCATCAGAGCACAGTAGTTTAAGGTTGAGGTCATACAAGAAGCAAAAGATCAGATTGGACGGTCGAGATGACCCACCCGACGGACATCTACGACCTTCTCGACTGCTCGAATATCCTGCTGAGCAGATTACTTTTTCGAACGTTTAGAGGTGAGCATCATCATTTACGACAACGTTCCGACTCAGCCTAAAGACGAGCAAGATGACAGCCAGCATACGCTCAGTGGCTCGCCGTAAGCGCTTATAAACCAGTCGAGTTGCTTGAGACATATTGTTTGCTATAGGAAGGCGATCGCAGTTTTTCTTATGTTGATATTGCGAATGAAGTTTAAGGCTGGGGCAATTTGCACATTCTAAATGGCTCAACCTCATATCGTAGACGCTTTTTGACGTGTTTAGATAGTGCTTCGCACTATTTTTACAAAATCATGATCTTCTTTTCGTTACAATCATGTGAAAAGACAAAAATGAGACCATCGACAACAGGGGTTTACGAACTAATCTACCCGACCCTGGAAGAAAAGTACTGTAACAATTTATGGAGGTGAAAATTACCACTATATCCGTTTATTTAAATTTTACCGTGCTAACTGTTATATTATTGGACCGGCATATTACCTCAGAAGCAAACTCTTTTAACGGGGCTGCCACGTCGCACACAGAGTGATAAGTATTCACATTGCGATAGTATGAGCAAATGTGTCGTCGCTGGGGGTAGCACAGGTGCGGAGACCGACATTGTCGAGGACATGGGGCTTAAATTGATGAATACATCCGTCGTTCACGTCTGTAGAGATCGATTTCGTTTCTAAATGGTGACTAGCTGCTTTGCGCTGCCAGCTATTCCTAAATGCCTCAGCCTTACGCCTCGCCAGACAGGATGATGTAGATACTTTCGCACATTGACTCGTCGTCGCGGACGACTCTGATGCGCCACCAGGATCATCCAACTCTTTGACCTCGCATCAAGACATCCAGTCGATCTTGCACCGAAATACAATTACCATACCTCAAGGGCGTCTTGCACCACCTCACGTCAGCAGGAGTCAACACGCATTCGAAAAATAGTGCCTGGAATGCGACTCATCGCGTTGCAGAACGTGGTCGAATCTGCATTCGTCAATCTTGTTTTCCATCATCTAAACTGGAAGACAAAAGACATGCGGCTGACTTTCGCCATCGTAATCGGCACCGCCCAGACATGTTGCAGTACGATTGGCGGATTACTCGTATCTATCGTCGATTCGCTGGATGGCATGGATACATTGTGTTCGCCACACACGCTTTAACGACCCTCAATCTCTAGCCAATGGTACCGACCGCACATAAAATATGCAGCGACGTCGGCATGTCATTCAATATAAAAACGTCAGGCAGTCGTAAAAACAACTCCAGAGCGCAAGAATGGACTTTGTGCGTGGGCCGGTGGACGGCATCGCCCAGAGCGAAAATTTACCAGTCGGGGGGTTCCGCCTCATGGTCGCGCTCGTGGGCTGCATCGTCGTGGCTCCACTGATCCACTTGATGCGCGACGAGACTTCCCGTACGATACAAAAATGCGCATCACAATAGCTACATAGACGCACATCACTCTGAGCCTCACCGTACTTGAAACCACTGTCTCTGTGCATTAGGTCACTTGTTTAATGTCGTGGTCGGTCTCTTTGCCGGTGTCTTCGTGTTCGACATAGCAGTGCTGCATACTATTGGCACTGCAGGAGTAGTCTATGTGCTCATGAAAGTGGCGTCAAGGTGCGGCAATCCCAAACCCGATGCATACGTTTATAACCTACTAAGCTTAGGAGGAATCGTGCCACGTCTGTATGAGCAGGGACCTCGTTGGGCGCCTTGTACTGTCGCTGCTGCTGGTGTATCTCGTTGGAATGTGCGGGCCTTTGTACTGGAAACGCTGTCGCGTTCGTTTTCTTTATAACTAATGATGCGGTTGTTGCCGTTTGTAAAGTCACTACTACCGTGAATTCCATAGTCCAGACATTGTGTGGGACTCGGCGCAGATGATCCTGACACTCAAGCTCGGCAGTGTCGCGATCAACTACAGCGACGGCGGTCTACCTAAGGAGAGGAAAACGCCTACGATGCTCAAGAATGAGCTTAAGGAAATCCCGGGGCTGATTCCATACTTCGGTGAGTGCAAAGTCGTGAGTATCTCGAGTCGCTGGTCCTGGTGCTGACTTCTTGACTTTTGATACAGGTTTTGTATTTTTCTTCCCGACATTTCTTGCCGGTCCTGCTTTTGAGTACAAGGACTATGTCTATTGGATGCAGGTAGACTCTTTTGCTCGCTCAGTTCATTTTCCGATTACTTGCGAAAGATTATGATGGCGCTGACACATTGATATCGCCGTACCCAGGACATCCGCGTCGCCCCGTTCATGATTCACGTCCGCAACCTGTTCGTCATCATGGTATGTTGATGCGCTTACCTCTACTAAACCCATCTCTCTCAATGCTGATGCTCTGTGCTTCGCGTTGATGTGTAGATTTCGGCGGTAGGCTTCTTCGCATCGCTGCAATTCCCAGTCGAAAAGATCGACTCGCCGGACTTTTTCACGAAGTCGTCGTGGGTTGTGCGCTGCATCCTCATGTGTATTCCCGTCGTCTTGTTCCGTTTTCGCTTCGTAAGTTGTTTGTATGCTTGTTTTGATCTGTGTCACTACTTGTAAACACCTGACTCACTGTCTGCGACCTTGCCTTCAACAGTACTTAGCGTGGTCCTTGGCCGAAGCCGCAAGCGCTGCTGCTGGCGTTGGCTACGTGCAGGCAACTGGGAAATGGTAGGTGAATCGGCACCGGTCGTTTGTATCGCTCGAACATTGTGACGCAACATATGTTGTGATGGCTGTACGTGTGGCTTGCAGGAATGGAATCACAAACAACGATCTCCTCTGCGTGGAGATTCCTACCAACTTCCGTGTTGCGATCAACAACTGGAATATCGGCGTTGCACGGTGGATCAATACTTGTACGTCATTACTTTTGCTTCTGCTGCAATATGTAGACACTTTTGGCTGACAGTATACACTCGATGTTAAACGCTGCTTCGTAGACATTTACCAGCGTGTTGGTCTGTTGAAGTCGGGGAAGCCTGGTCTGTTGTCCACGATGGCTTCGTTTTTTGTCAGTGCGCTTTGGCATGTAAGAGCAAATTTACTTGTTGTCATGCGTATCACTGTTCTGCAAACAGGTACTGGACGCGACTAACGGGGTATTTGTTACTGTATAAGGGACTCTCCCCGGGCTACTATCTGTTCTTTCTACTGGGTGGCATTTACATTGAAGTTGGAAAGCGTAAGTTTTGTCTCTACGTTAACTCTTCTGCGCTATTGTACTGACATGCTCAATCAATGACCGTTGTGGTAAATTCGTGTAGATCTTCGCCGTCGCCTGAGACCGTACTTCCACTTTACGGAAGATCGCAAAGCACACCCACATGCTATCTTCCTGTCGTACTTTGGTCGAACCACGCACCCGTTGGCATTTTTCTACGACATTTCTGGCGTCTTCCTGACATGGATAGCGATGCAGTACGCTGGTGTAGCGTTTGAGATCATGGATGTGCGTCGGTGCCTTGCCATTTGGAGCTCGTGGTACTTCCTTCCGCACATCGTGAGTATTGGCCTCCTGGTGTGTTTCAGCCTCTTCCCCCAACGCCGTTTTGCGTCGTCAGACAAGAAGAAAGCCGAGTAAGGAGTCTCTGCATTGCATAAAGCTTGTCGATTGATATACCTTAGCATGTGATGCGTTAGCCTGCTGTAATGTGATCAGTCGATGCACCGCCCCACGACCTGTCGAAACGTTTTACGCTTGCTCGTGATGCGATTGCGTATGTTGACAACATCAGCTATTGTGAAGCTACAGAGATGCATGGATTGCTTACCAGCGAAGAGAGTAACGTCCTTCCCCTAGCACGGCCCTAGTCGATACCGCTTCGAGTCGTGTCGTAACCGGACCTTTTGAACCTAACAGGCCCTCACGTCCAGGTATGAAGCAGGCCATCACGTTCAGGTATGAAGCAGGAGCTATCATCATGAGCGCATAAAAAAGCGCTGGTAGCAATGACACGTCTAAATAATGTAGGTTACTGTATTGCATTGGCTTAAGCGCTTGGCGATACACAAGTCGGTATGGAAGCAGCCAATTTGTAACCGGCTGCCTCCATAGAAAACAATAGGAGACTGACTACGTTGACTGAGCTCATGTGCATGATGATGATGTCTTCGAGCATGGACCAGCAAAGTTACAAACAGGAATCGTGTGCGGCCTACACATGCTGTCTGGTTCACCGATCTGGCTGCAACGTAAATGACTAGCAAGGTCAGACTATCCTCGCGAGCAAAGGGCTTTAGCGATCAAACATGACCTTCGATAGACAGTCGACCTAGCCCAGACAGCGAGCCACACACCATCAACACGTCGCCGCTCGGCCTAAAGTCTTGAGACCGACCTGCTCGGACTTTCAATGCAGTACCGTACCTTACGTTAGGATTGTTCTTTGCTTTGCAAACGTCGTGCCCAGGCTCGAGCGGGGATCAGCGAACGTTTTTCACAAAGTATCGCACCTCAATCGGTGGTCGATACCAAGGATCGGAGTCATATCTCATTGTCGTGGGTATGTTACGCCTCCCTATGTGCTGTGCTGGCGCCACACTGCTTTGTGTGGTGCCCGCGTTGTGATGCTCTTGACTAGATGGTTCGCACGCAGTTTATCGGTACAGCTGCAATCTACAATCCACTGGTAGCTACTTAGTGGTCGTGAGTACGATCGTACCAGAATTTGTCGAGCGAGAAAACGTCGGCACAAGATTAAGCACTATGCGTCTATCCTATAACAAGAAGACGATGGAACCACAACAGCTTTCTCGGGTAAAAGTAGTCACCTTTACGTCCAGTATAGCACCGATGCTACCAGAACTCGAGCTATGTTTTTTAGTGCGTACGGTAACCGTGAGTATTGCGACAGACTAAAACACGGGCCTTCGCATCGCAAGACGAAGTTGATGGCACCAGCAAAACACACGAGATACGTCAGTTGACACGCGTGCAAAGCAGGTCTACAGCCTATGCACTGTCTACGCAAGTGCTTCCGCGTCTCTTGATTGTGGAAAAACACCTCGGAGTGACCGATATTTCACGTATAGACAGTCCATTTTGTCATCATAGTCATACGCGGGCGCGTGAGCAACTTACCTGAGGTGACGCCAACATGTTGCAAGGCACGACACACATTGAGGACCTTTGCAACCAGCTGTCCAACATTGAAGTCACTCCTTTTGCATTGCTCACTTTCCATTGTCATGGCTGCCACCAACACAAAAGTTACGGTGTTGTTCGCCCATGGTGGCAGCTTCTGCAAGGACACCTGGGACCCCATCACGCGCCGTCTGAAAGACTCGCAAATGCTTCAATCGGTTCCGACGGATTACATCACGTTCGACTTCCCGTACCATGGCAACCAACAGGATCCGACTCTATTGCAGCACTTGAGCGTGGACCTTAGCAGTCCGAAAGCACCACGAGTGTGGAACGAGAAACACGACCTCGTCGAGTGGGCGGCTGGTGCGGTGAACGACGAAGTGAAAGCGTGGAAGCAAAAGACAAGCACAGAGACTGAAAACAAGACGCACCACATACTCATCGGAGTTGGCCATTCAATGGGGTCATCAGGCCTTTGGGCTGCGGAGGTGGCTCGCCCGGGCACCTTCAGTGGTCTCATTCTGTTCGAACCTGTCCTTGCGCAACAGTCACCCGAGACCGACTACTTGGTTGATTTTATGGCCACCCTCGCACTCCAACGACGCATGTCGTGGCCCTCTCGTGCTGCAGCTGAAGAGCACTTTTACAATTGGCAGAACTTTGCCAAGTGGGATCGCGAAGCGCTCGGTGGATACCTTCGTGGTGGTCTAAGAGAAGCGGAAGATGGTACCGTCACTTTGGCATGCCATCCGAACCTCGAAGCTTCTCTGTACTGCCAGAAACCCTTGTGGCTGACCGAGAACGAGCTGCAGCAGCCGAAATGTCCCATTACATTCCACTGGGGTAGTCGCTCGAAGATATGGTTTCGCGATCATTTTGAGACGCTACAGAGAAAGCTGCCCCACATCTATAATGTGAGAGAACCTATGGAGGGTAACTCGCACGTGTTAGTGATGGAAAACCCTGAGCTTGCGTCGAAAAAGATCGCGCACGATCTCTCAGAGCTCGTGCCATATGCTGCTGCTTCGAAATGAAGATTCGACAAGAAAGCAGGAGCTCGTCGGGAGAATCGAATTGCTTCCTTCAGTACTTCACTATGACAAGCTGGCATCATCATTTGTAGGCTTTTACATGTAGTACAAGAAAGACTAGACATCAAAATATCGCTTCTTTGTCAACTACTAAATCGACAAGCACTAATGGCGCAAGGGAATACGAAATTCTGGCAACACTTGCAAAATTTACGCCACATCCGCCTACATTGAGTCCGCATAGATGTCTGCACATGGGAAATACCCATCTACTGAGGCATGTTTCATGCACATGTTTGACGCGTGTTAAAACCATGATCACAATGGAGCAAGGCAGCTCACATGCTAGCTTCCAAGGATCAAGACCGCAATACTGCGGTTAGCACCATGCACCGGTCCTGGACCGCATATGCAGTGAGTTTCTTGCTTCAATGCAGCGTACTCTCGATGAGATCAATCGAAGTTCGCGACACGGAAGCGATATTAACGTCGTAGACGCAAGAGTCAGCAACAGCAACCGAAGCATATGCTTGCAGTACCCGCAGAGCAAATTGTTGCAGTGTCGTATTACCAGCAACGAGGTCAATCTGCGTACATGACTAACACTGCGGAGCGTCACAAGAAAATTATGTTTGTGCCTGTGATTACAACTCCAGTAACGCTTTCTGTCAGGGACACCCGCATAGGCCAGAGGCCAAGATGCATCTGTTGAATGGCAAATACATTGAAAGGAGATCTGGCGAACGTGACGGTGTTGCTGCAGATAACTGGCCAGGATTCAAACCGCACATACATAACCTTTTCACTAATGCGTTTGGGTGCAATCATCAACGCATCTTGATGTGTTGATGTGGATCAAATATATGACCCAGCTTCGAATGACCAGTGTTTGTAGTTACTTGTTTCCCATAAAAAATCTCATAGATGCGTGGTAGACCGTGTAAGCCTTGTGCGTGCATGATGTCAAATAGACACAATTTGCTGATTACCGTGCCTGAGCCTGGTACAGATGACCAAGAACAATAGCTTGTAGCCTGTACCTTCAGGTTGATGGGTGTCAAGGAATGCGCTAAACCTAGTCATTGGCATAGTTGTTGCCGTCGTTCGATGCTGGCATGACGGTCAAAAAGGACTTGATTTTCAGATCGTAAGACCAGCATTCGTGGCTTTGGATAGCAAATGCGATGTCAGCGATCTTGCATGTCTCTCTGTAGCAGGTATGGTGAGCAGTTGTTTCTTTTTGCTCGGAAGGCCCACGACTTGCTAGATGCAAATGTGTTGTGGCAAATCACCGCCTGCAACAGACATTCATGCCTGGTACTAATGAGCACGATACTGTAATTTGGGTGTCAGAGTTCATCGACGGAACTGCAGACCTGGTAGTTTAAAGTGGCTAAGGAACCGCTGGAGGGACGGGGTGGGGTGGTGAATAAGCCAGACACCTTGAATACCCTCGTTTAGAAACCAGCTTGCTTATTTACACTGGCTCATAAATGATATTCGCAAGATGACTAACAGACGACGTGTAGTTATTAAAATCAACCTGTCACTGTTTGCCGCTTTGTTGCTGTGTCATCTTTTGATCACTTACTGCCGCGGAAACATGGCGATGTGTCGACGCGTGATGCCAAATCTAGTCGGGTATGTCAGAGTTGTCCAACTTTCTTGGAATCAGAACGGTTAGACCCCGGTTAGACCCCGCTTTTCGACAAGCTACGCCGCAATATGTATGCTAGAGGCTCATTGGCGGTAGTGGAGGTTACTGACACGAGCTTTGGAGGCATTTTGAAGGGACCGGCTATCGGTCTTCGTACTCGCACAAGTTTTCGTCTCTCCTCTCTTCCTCAAATAGCAATACTTTTCGTAGATGAAGATAATCTACGATTAAGGGTAGGCAAGGCATTTACATCTTCGCTATGAAATGTTTACGAGCGCCACGAGTGCTATCTACATAACGATCTACGCCAAATATTGTTACGATGCATTGGGTCTGTAGCAGTGGCGTAGGTTCATGGCGAGCGCTGCCCGACTGCACGTATCTTGACGTGCTCACTTGGCCTTCCTCCGGCCATCGGTCGCACTGAGCTCTTGTGCTTCGCGTCGAGTGTTCTGTATTGAATGCACCTCTCCCTCTTCGAGCTGACATGGGAGCATCTTGCACAAGAGCTGGCCTGCTCAATCCCGATCATCTCTGGTGTACGCGACCGCCCATGTGCTCATGCACTCAATGCGGCTCATAGGTTTCAAACTTCGTCCTCGTTCCTCCGCTGTAGCAGGTACGTGGCGGTGACACCATACCATCCCGCAGCGATTTCGCTGGTATGATGACTGTTCCAGAAAAATACTACCTCGAAAGGCTGCAAAAAATGGACAGCCGCGATCATGTTCGTCGGTCGTGGACCCGTGACTGGTCCATCCAAACATCTTTATGACAGTCGGCCTTGTCAAACGTCTAGAAGAGTGTGGGAACTACACCAGGTCTTGCAGCATGGCGTTCTGACTTTGCGTTGGACTCATCCACGTACTTTTTGGCGTGGGAGCGCTCTTTTCGGGCCGCATCAATGAAGTATGTACACCAACGGGTGATCCTTTTTTCAGATGGATCTATCTGCAGTATCATCTACCAAATCATGCCAGACGGCGTAGATCAGTGGATGGTGGCGTCGAATGATGAGTATGACGACACTAGTTCTCTTGTAGGAGCAAGATTGTAAAAGCCAAAATTTTTAGACATTGAAACGTGCATGAAACAGGCCTGCAAGAGTTGTCTTCGCCTGTCCCGGTCGTTTCCCTCTCGAGCAGCGTCAACAGGCATGCGTTTTTGTTCGACAGGATGCCGCGTCTGATAGATAACAACCGTTCGTCCCGAACGAAACGACTTTCATTCGATCGATTCGGCCCGAGCCAACCCGGCAAGAATGCATGCCCACTTGCTGCACCATTCTGCGACTTACCTCGACCTTACGACTTTCGCACAAACATCGCACTACGCGTCCAAGATGAACTTTTTCGTTCTCCCCGTGCTCGCTGCTGTCACAACTACGACCAATTTAGGACAGGCTACGGACCTCTCAAGGGGAGATTTTGTCGAGCTCTTTCGCGGACTTAAATTGTTCTCGAATGTTTTCACAGACAATCCGGAAGTCAAAGAGGCAATTGATCGCTTGCGGGACCATCCAAACTCTTCACTATGACCATTAGAAACGACTTTTGGCCATTTTGTCTGCTAGAACGAACGTGACTGACAGAGACGATACGAACAATTATGCTTAAGGACATTGGTATGTGACTTTCTCATTACAGTGTCTATGCTAGAGAATGGCATAGCGGCTTGTTAATATATATTGCTGCATTAATACAAGACGATTTCAAGAGTATTTTTAATTGTGTGTGCACCAATATGTCATATGTATACACGAACTTAGCTCGGACCGAGTGAAATGAATACTTTCTAAAGTGCTAGGCCTGACCCATGCTGCTTATCGAATCTCTATAATCAAGCATTTAATCGACACCCTCCCGCTATTGGATGTAAAAGCAGATATTACTTGTGGAGAAGAAAGAGTCATGGGTCGGAGTTACAATGGTTCACGTGCACATAAGTATCACTCGCAAGATCGACTTTACTGCGTCTACCTTCGCATCGCCATATTTGAACTCACGCAAGTTCATGTTTGTCGCCATGTTCGCTTGCGCTGTTACGTATATTAAACTATTGCCGGTGTACTTAATAGAGTGTCGTGCATGACACGTTTTATATCGAAGAATACTTTCGACAAAATTCGACTACATAAAAAAGAAGTACGGAATATATTGCATAATTATTTCAATAAAACATAGACATCGACAGCTCGACGTATGTGTTACCACTGCAGCTTATTTTCATAAATCATCTGTGTTACTGTACAAGATAAGCTTACAATGCTATCAGTACTAGTGGATATATAAAAACGCAACGCACACGACCGCTGACGAAGCACACATGAATCAATGGACGAGATTCGATGTGGATACAAATTTCATTTATTTGTGGTTGGTAGTCTACATACTATCTGAAATATCACCCTACTTTGATATTCTTAACTACATGCATAATGAATACGTGCTTACCATTATGGCGCGAATTCATCACGCATTCTACACGTTGCTGAATTAAAGAACGGCCTTTATCGTCCTCAAAGCACATTGTTCTCAAAAAAATACATTTTATGAAATGATAATTATATTTAGCAGGATCATCCCGTTACACAGATACAGTAGAAGCTGTGTCGATAAATTAATAGCTGAGCAGAGAAAGGAAGTGGAGCATTATATAATTTATTCGATTAGGACAATACAAGAAGAGACAATTTCAGCGGATTGTAAAAACGGGCTTTATGGCGACGGTAACTAAAGACGATAAAGAGAATGCTGTGGTCGCTGAAGGCCGTCGCTTTTTATCAGCTGAAGCAATATTGGCATTAAAAGTTAAACTAGCGTCAATACTTACGAAGAAATTAATTGGATAACTTGCATCCTGTGTCTTTCGATACGTAGTTTTGTAATCACTTGACCACTATATGTATATTATGATTTTTGATTATCGACGCTATTTAATATCCATTCCGAAATAACGGAGATAAATATATGCATTGCAGTCGAGTATGAAGTAGCCGCGACTGCAGTAATTCGTTGATATATACCCGCTTTTTCACGGCTCGGAACCGTAACAACGCATCAGCTAAATCCTAGAGACTTTTATCTGATTGAGTACGATAGCATGGGTGGTGAGTTGGAGATTTGAATTTTCTTCAGTTAACGACGCGTCCGCTCTCTAGCTTTATGCGCGCCGGAGTTCTCCAGCTCAGCAGTCGACTCTTCGCTGCTGGTTGTACTAGTACTTGCGTACTGTGATGATAGTTGTGAACAGCCAAATATGTTGACGTGTTAACCACTACCACTGACATGCATTGTTTCCTCTCATAATCTTGCGTCTACCCATGGACCTGGCATCATCATCGGCT